AAGAGGCGCTCTGCTCTTCCTGGGAAGAGGTCTCTAGCCACAGCTGCTATGATTCTGGCAAAAACACCTCACCCAGGGTGGGGGCAGAGCTGCCCATACCAGGCCTTCTCTGCCCTCCACGAGCACCCACAGGTAACCTGCTGGAACCCAGGATAGAGACTGGGGACAGTCAAGTTGCTGGAAGGGGTGCTGTTTTGTCCAAAGCCAATCCCTCCCAACCCTGAGACTGACTGACTGGCTGACTCCAAGTGAAGAAGGTACAGGGCTTGCAGACCTAGCCTGGGCACCTCTCGGGTAGAACACACAGAAAATGGATCCCACAGACAGTGAACCCAGAGAGTGTTGTCGAGAATGTGTGTCTCAGGAAGATAAGAACAGCCAGGTCAGAGTCACCCGGCTATGTCTGTCAAAGCTGAGCCACCCAGTCGAAGCCAGGCTGATGATGGCAGGATCCCAGGGGCACAGGACCCAAGTGCCAGGGTTAACAGTACACTCTTTTGGAAGGTCTCTCCCTGTGGTCCCTCCACTAGTTCAGACTACCTTGGGAACATCTCCATCTGGATAGGCCTTTGTGTCTCTGAGCTTTGAGGAAAAGTTTCCTGAGAACCTGTCTCCTCTATGGCTCCTCCTCCCAAACTGTCCCTTGGAAAGAGCTGAAGAAAACAAAGGAATGTTGGCCAAGGGGAAAGGTCAGCACCATGGGCACTCAAGCGTGCGCGGGTGCATGCACACACACACACACACACACACACACACACACACACACTGATGTGCTCAGTGGGGAGGGTAAAATGCTTCTCAGGAAGGGGCTGAGAGCTGAGGGGCACTTAGAACATAGCCTTGCCTAACACAGGAACTAAAACCTGTATCTCTGGTGGAAAGGGAGCCCATGTCTGATGACAGGAAAAGTCTGGTCTGGTTTATTGGTGCAAGCCTGGGGAAATCCCCAGAGCAGGGTTCTGCCCCTGGAAAGCATTTGCTGGATGCCATGCCCCCTTCAACCACACCATCGGAATATCTTTCGAGACAGTAAGTTCCTGTGTGGGTGGAACAGTCCTGGAGGGCTGCCTGGAGGAGCCGTAGGAGCCCCAAATTTCCCCAGCCTTCAGAGCCTACCTGCTGTACCCTGGGCTCTACTTGCTTCAACTAGTCTTAGGTTTGGAGACCACTGTTTTTCCACTGAGCAGACAGCTTTGGCTTCCTTCTGCCTTCAGCCTGCTGCATCTCCTGCTCAGAGATGAGTATTGGCTTCCGGGTACTTGGCTTTCCCCCAAAGCCAGGCCCAGGCAATCTCCACTCGCCCTCTGGTCTGCAGTCTGGCCAGAATTAACCCTCCAGGGACTGCCTCTAGCTTGTGTCCCAGACACGGATCCCTACCCTGCTGCCCTACAGTGACCACTGGGGTGCCCCCTAGTTGGCTGGCTGTGCTGAGCCACTGAGCTAAAGTGGGGTGGGGAGGCCAAGTGTAAGTCTGCTTTAGACTAAAACTGGTCTAACAGGTTGTGTGAAAAGGGCTGCTCTGGCCTGCCCAGGCTTTCCTTTCTAAATGCAGACAGCCTCAGTGAGGTGGGAGTGGGGGTAGGGGGGATACCCTGTGCTCACACCCCAGATCTTTCTGCCTGCTGGACTTGCTTTCAGGAACCAGACTCGTGGCCCTTCACTTCACCCCACACACATAGGATAGGAGGGTTTCCATCTGAGAGTAAAGACAGTCAGTCATGACTTTAGTTTCATTCGGATGCATTCAGCCTTGGTCTTGCAGGATCTGCTCAGACAGCAAGTTAAATGCTGGACTTAGGTTTTGGGGCCCTTGGGACCAAGGGAATGTTATTCAACTCAGTAATCTTGAATGACATATCCTAGCAAGACTCTGGCCAGTTTGACCTGCTGACGAGAGACAGCTTAGTGGCATCTGCCCTCAAACCATTCCAGGGGCCCTTGTGAGTCCAGAGAGGGACACCATGTAGGGCTACTCTTCAAACCCACCTTCCTGTGACTGGGCAGAATCTTCCAGAGCCAGCATGTCCTTGAGAGAGCCCCACTGAACACCTCTACCCTTCTCTCTGGCCTCTGACTCTTGGCAGACAAAGGCTTTGGCAGGTGAGTCTTCAGAGACAGGGTAGAGTAGTGGTTACTCAAATAAAGTCTAGAGACAAGGCTTACGACCTTGAGCTAGTCTTTGCCTCTCAATAAGTCAGTGATTCTCAACTTCTGTAGCGCTGTGACCCTTTAATACAGTTCCTCATGTTATGGTGACCCCCACCACCACCATAAAGTAACTTTTGTTGATACTTCATAGCTGTAATTTTGCTAGTTATACGTCATAATGTAAATATCTGTGTTTTCCAATGGTTTTAGGTGACCTTTGTGAAAGGGTTGTTCAACTCCTGAAAGGGGTCATGACCCACAGATTGAGAACCACTGTTCTAAGCTCTACCCTTTCAGATGAAAACGAGGACAGCCTCTATTAGTGTGCAGGGCTGGAGTAAGAATTATTGGGAGTGAACCACACTCAAAGTTGTCACCTTTGCCTCCAATTTCCTATGGTACCCCACCCCACTCAGTTACATACCTGTGAACCTTCTCATTGGTCCACAGGCTTTGAAGCCCTCACAGAGCTGTCAATGCAGAATCCTTTAAAAATGAGCATCAGAGCCCAGCACAGGCCCACTAGAGTCTGAGATGCTCCACCAGCCAGAATAAAATCAGCCGTGGCCCCCTTTGCCCTCCCCACTCCATCCTAGATTCTAGGTTTATCTCTTAAGGCCCAACGGCATTAAAGCTATTGTCCTGGTGGTCTCCTGTGTTTGGGACAGCCCTTTCCCATGGCCTCTACATGACCAATCTCTCTCTTTGTTCTGAATGCTAGGTTCACTGCCATCCCACTCAACACTTTCCCAGACCCTCTTTGCTGCAGGGTGACTCCACACCTAAACCTACTCTCGTCCCCACTTTTGCTTTCTTCACCCACTCAAGACTTGCCTGTTTGTTAACTGTTCAACATCTATCTTGCAGTAGCCACAAGGCCCACGAGGATAAGGGCCATATCTATCTTGTTCTCTCCCGTGTCCCCAGGGCCTTGGTGGAGTCTGGCTCAATTAGTGGCCAAAGAGCACACATGTGAAGGGATTCAGTCTGTAAAGGGTTACCATTAATTACTGTTTGAATTTTGTGCAGGGTCCAGCATGCCCACCTCATGGGTCACCCTTCCTCCCTAGCTAGTGCCAGCACATGGTTGTCCTTTTTAGTAGCCCAGGACAATCCAGGGGTGATTACACCTGGCAGCTGATTTTCTTTTTCCATTAGGCTTGAATCTGGGGTCAATGACATGTTTTCTGGTCTCCCTATCCCAGGCAGGCATTTTGACTCCTCTCATATAAAGACTGAAATGTCAGTAGCTGGCAGCCCTTTCTCAGGAAAGAGCTAGACTCTGGTTTGAGGTGAGTCAGGGATGGCCCATTGCCAGGCCTGTGGCTCCAGAGCTCTCAGCAATCAGAGATGAGGTAGATAGAAACAACTGTCCAAGCAGCCACCCAATTGCCTATCCCCATCTCATGGGGCATTCTGGGATAGAGGAGCAGTTAGGGTGAGTGCTGCTCTGTGCTCGGCTGCCTTGTATGAAGAATGGGGTTTTCTGGACTTTCTTTAGTTACAGTGGCTGAGTGTCCAGGTTGTGGCAGCAGGTGCAGAGAGCCAGCCTCTGCCCGCTACAAGCCCACTACTTTCCCATTAAATGATTCGGATCTTGGGGGTGGAGGGACGATAGGGATTACTTCACACATTTTAGGAACCACACAAAGGCTGAGATCAAAGCTGAAGAAAGACCCTACCAAGGCCATGGTGACACTTGGGCGAGGTACACTGTTGGGCCCCACAGCCAGCAAAGGTTTTTACCAGCTGCCACCAGCTGTGGGGACAGTGTCAGGCTGAGGAGGCAGGCTTGAACACTACTCACGGCTTTTACAAATACCATCCGTCCTCCCTCCATGTACCTCTTCACTCTAGCCCAATGCCATTCCTTACAAAAAAAAAAAAAAAGTAGTATTACTTTTTGTGCGTATGTTTGCGTGCGTGTAGGTGCAGAGACCTGGAAGACCCATTGGTTCCTCTGGAGCTGGGAACATTGATTCCCTGAAAGAGTAGCAAGCACTAACTGAGCCATCTTTCTATCCCTCACAGTGTCATTCCTATTCTTTGTCATGACTGTCCTTGTCCCCAGTCAAGGGCCGCCCTGATTCTGGTTGTTTGTTTTAGCCTCTTCCTTATCACGATGCCTTATCCTGAGAGCTTCTGGCTCTCAAGCCACTATACTGGCCTCTTATAATTTGCAACTTATAATGATCTGAGGATTAGGAACACATCCTGAATTGTTTCTAAAACACAGTTTAAAAGGCCAGGAGTACAGTTTGGAGGCGCTTTGCTGTGAGGCCCTCATATTCTAGCAGGATCCCAGCAGCCTGCATATTCCGAGTCAGACCTTCAACCCTGGACAAGGTTTTCATTTTCATTGTATTTCTGATGTTCAAGATCTTGACTAAGAGGAGAGGGTCCTCTGACTCCAAAGAGCCTGAGCCAGAATTCTGACTCAACTGACCTACCCACTGCCCAGAAGAATCCTGTCAGGTCCATGTCTGGAATCCTCATTGCACTTCAGTACACTTTTTTCCACTCTACTTTCTCCTTGCAAGGCCAGTCTGAGTTCTGTGGCTCCTCTTGTCGAGTTACTGCCTGCCATGCCCACTTTGAATGGGGCTCTCCTCTTGGGCTTGGAGCTCCTCTGCTGCCTGTTCCCCACATATCCAGCAGTGCAATGGATAGTACCCCAGAAGGCATGCCAATGAGTCACCCCCTGTCTCTCATCTCCCAAGGGAAACAAGGGTGAAGGCACCCTGCAGTCCCCTGGCAGAGACTATGGAGTTGTTAAAGTTCTGAGCTTTGACTTTTCGAGATGTGAAGTGGTTTGTGACACTAGAATTAAATGCACAACTCCAGACGCCCCATTGAAGGCTCCATAAGTGGAAGGCATAATTTTATTATCATTATAGAAAAAAAAATCAATGGAAGAAAAACTCCCAAACTGGTTCTTGTGTTATAATACTTGTTTTATAAAGTCTCGTAAGGTATGTATGTATTTATCCCTCTCTCACGTGCAGGCAACCTCCTGGGCAGGAAGCAGACACAAAGAGCTGCAGCTGCGGCCCTTGGACTAGCACCTCCTTCCTGACCCAGCACATGCCCTTTGGCAGGGGCCTGCACCATAGAGAAGCCAGCTCTATGCAGCCATGGCGCTGCCCTGTGAGGAGATGACTGGGAGCCCTTGTGTTTCTGGCTCCTGTCTGTCTGGTCACTCAGCCTCCCAAAAGAGGCTCGGCAGAAAAGGGTGGGCACATCCATATGCAGGTGGACAGGCCCAGCACATTCAGAACTACTTTGGGCCCAAAAATGTCTCAGGATGGGGGTCTCCACAGGGAAGAACCAGAGCTGGGGGTCTTTGGACCACCCAGGGCTTAGGGCAGAGAATCGGAATGGCTCATGCCATCACCCCAACCCCAACCCCTGCAAGGAGAATAAATAAATAAATACTGTATAACTGTGTAGTCCCCTAGCCCAGCCTGCTTCCCCCTAAGGGGCCTTGGCATGATCAACCTCTGGCTGATATTCTCCCAGAAACAGGCTTGCTACTCTATAGATGGGTAGGGGGCCTGCCCTACTCAGCACATTGAGAAACCAGGGCTGGGAGAATAGACAAGTTCAAGAGGCTAGAGCAGGCAAGTGAATGGAGGCTTAGGTCCAGCCCCTAGAGAGAGACAAGGTCCTGCCTGTCTCTATCTGCTCTGATACGTGGCTTACTGCAAAGAACCATGTGGGACCTGAAGGCATGGACCTCAGTTGTGTGACAACCCCTCCTCCACCTTCCTTGTTCTTGCTGGCACTTTCTGGTCCAGCTGTCACATGCATGCAGGCACCAGGATGACTGAAGAAGGAACAGCAGGACCCCAAGTCCAGCTGGGGCCCGTGTCCCCTTCAGTATGTAACTGTGTGAGGCAGGGTAGGGTGCCTGGCCCAGTCAGAGTTGGAAGGGGTACTGTCGGAGGTAGTCGGCCATGCGCCGGGGCAGTGGTAGACAGTCCACGTCGGCCACCAGACGGTTGATGACTAGCCGACACAGATGTTGTAAGCTTCGGGCACTGCTCCTGTGCACAAAGGGCTGTACCAATTTCAGGTGCACAGCAGTAGCCACAGGGATAGGCAGCACTGAGTCACCAGGTGCATCTTGCTTAGGCATAGGCAGGGATGGGGTGGGAGCAGGATCTGGGCTGTCACTCCGGGTGTCAGCCGCACAGGAGGCCACATAGTGCTGCACAAGACTGACCACATCTGGGAAGGCTAGGATCCGTGGTCTCGACAAGCAGTTTGAGTCCAGCCGGAAGCTAGAATCGGCATACTCGATGCGTACGTTGGTGGGGCCACGAGTGGTTTTAACTGACAGTGTGAACAGGTAGCTGGGGTGAGTGCTGTCTCGCACTAGGAATGTGCCCTCCGGCATCTTCTGTAGGTGCTGCCGGGCCTCGCTGGCTGTAATGGAACCCCAGTACCACCCTAGGCAAGTAGAGAAGAGGACCAGTCAGAGTGGAAATTACCTAAGAGCACACCAACCCAGGGTAGGTCAGGATGAAGTGTCCTTTTACATTTCTCTGGAGACGTGTATCTATACCATCAGTTTTAGGGGCCAGACCATGCTTCCCAAATCAGATTCCAAATCCAAAGAGCTAAGCTCTGCCACAGACTTCCCAGGACAAGGTCTGTGTCTCCCCTGAGACTCACCAGATTCCCGAAGGTAGGAGAATGTCTTGGCTATGCACAGCAGATCCCCCTCAGGGTCTAGCACCTTCGGTTCATTCTCTGACTGGACAGGGGCCTCCTCTGTCACCTCCGCTGGGAATGCCCCAGTGGGTAAGGGCTGCATGGCTGGCCCGGGCAGCTCCAGGGACTGGGCCCACAGAGGCCGCCGCCCAATTTGCTCCACAGCCAGCAAAGGACAAGATCTAGAGTGGGCAGATAGGCAATAGAGGTCTCACTATGTTCTCCGATTTTAGAAAAGTTCTGTGACTGCTCTCTCCAAATACATGCATATTTAAGCAAGGTCTCACGCTGTAGGCCTGGCTGGCCTGGAACTTGCTATATTGTCCAGGCTGGCCTCACAGTCAGAGATCCACCTGCCTCTGTCTCCCCAAATGCCACAATACCCAGCTCCTAGATATAAATTTCTTATTTTTTTGTAATGTTGGGAATTGAACTTAGAGGCTCGCACATGCGAAGCAAGTGTTCTTACCACTGAGCTATCTACAGCCCCACTTTCACAGAACCTATTCTAAAACATTCTTTTCTTCTCTACTACATTTACAATATACAAATTAACCCTTGAGTTGTATTACCAAAATCACAGACCATTCCCCAAGAGTGCTTCCAACATTCCTACCAAGAACGGGGAACCTGTCAATTCAAAAGCTGTCTCCTGGCTGAGGTAGCCTGTTAAATGCCACTATATCTGGTGGAGTCACAGAATGAACTAGGGTGGTGTTCTCAGAAAGACCTCAAGATTACCGTAGAAAGCCTAAGGTTACAGGGTAGCCCCCTGTCAATAGGAATATCTGTTAGGGGTTGGGGGGACCACAGTACAGACTGTCTAGGACTTCAAAACTTAAAACAAGGTCCTACCCATACCAGCCAGATTCCCATCCCGGGCTCTGCTCCGCCCTGCTGAGGGAAGGCAGTGTCCTCTACAGGCATTGATGAATTTCATCTCTCATAACCATGAGCTCCCAGCAAAGGGCAGGGTACTCAACCCACATTCCAGACTCCACCCTATGGAGTCAGCCCTGTTATTTATTTTTTTTCATGTACAATTTACTCCTCTCTGGGCTGTAATTTCTCCTCCTTCCAGATGATGGCCTATTTGCCCTGAGGGGTTTGACAACTTTAGAGGGCTGGGGTTAGGGTAAATCTTCCTAGTAGAAGCCCACCCAGCTGGTGATCCAGGGGCCCTTCTTCTGGGGAAAAAAATAGTTGGCTCTCTTTAATTTCTAATAAAATATGTCCCCGGTTAGATCTTAAGACCTCAAAAGAATGAAACCCTAGGCTCAGCCCACACTTGCTGGGGAAGGCAACACTGTATCAGGTATTGGCTGTAAACAAGGGGTGGTTAGGCTCTGCTAGCAGTCAGCAAGGATAGAAGCCAGACCTGACAGTGTAAGTAGTGTTTAGAAGGTCATAGTCCTGTGACCACTCAGGAGAAGGGGTGACAGGCCCTGGCACCTATAGCCTGCCAAGGGTTTTTCCACACCCACTCTTAACCGAGCTAGGAGAGCTCTGGAATCCCACTTAGTGAGCTATAGGCAGAATTCTGAAGTGACCTGCTTGCTGGGGCCCATAGCTTGATCCAGGCTAGCCAGTCATTCCACAGCCTCTGTGGTAGTTATGACCAGACAGCTTAGTTAGGTCCCTTCCATAGGTCCCACACTGTATATGTAGTAGGCATCTCTGGAGCTAGTATGGTATCTAAGTATAGAATGACTATGCTAATCCCCAAAGGTTGCGGGGAGGGACTAAATATCTAAGGAGGGGTGTGTCTACCTCTGTGTCATCATGGTGGGGGTGAGGACTGGTGTGTTCCAAGAACCTGTGTGTGCATGTTTTGGAGTCTAGCCATGAAGTCCCGCCTGAGGACACATGCCAATGAGATGAACCGAGCCCAGGGAGGATGGGATACATATGTCTGTTAAAGAACTTGGTTCCCTAACACCCCAACACTGGTCCTGAGGTTCCCAGGGGCCTTCAGTTAAGGAAAAGTCAAAGAGGCTCTGGAGATCCAGAATGGAGAAGTGGGGGCACCCAAGAAGGAAGGTAGGATGTGTGGGTCTGCTGAAGAGCCCGAGAATTCAGAGAATAAAGTAACATGGTAGGAACTACTAGGGAATAGTCTTCCCCGCAGCTCCACGCACATTCTCTTCCTGGGACTCAGGGCTGCTTAGAGCAAGGGCACTTCAGCCTGGCCCCACCTTCCACTCTTCCTCACTTGGCATCATTCCCATGTCAGTTATAACAATTGCTACTGGATCACAACCTCCCTAGATTTGTAACACAACACACACATACACACACACACACACACACACACACATTTCCTCTTTTCTTGGGCTTTCCTGAATTCCTGACTGATCAGTGTTTGAAGGGGACGCTGAAACCTAGGGTAAACAGGTGTGCCAAGACTTTGTTTTATCAAAGCCCCACTCTCACCATGGTCCTATATTCCATGCCTCAGGGAAACCTTGGAGAAGACAGGTTGAAGTCTTTATCACACTGAGACGTCAATCTGAGCTAAGAGAAGGTTGTGGGGCGCTCCTAAGGGGTACTGTTTATTAGGTGCCAGCCTGGGGAGAGTCAAAGACCTCAGGCTGGCTTCCCAAGAACCTAATCGCTGGCCTGAGACGGAGGAATGAACTTCTGAACACAGAGAGGTCTAAGGGCTGGCTCAAGGTCACCGATAGGTACGGAGCCGGAAAGCTAGGTAAACTATGAGCTCAAACAGAGGTCTAGACTTGTGAGTCCCATCCTGGAGAACCTCTTACAGTTGGCGCTAACTGAGAACTCAGAAATGGGGGCTCCTCCCACTGCTCGCCGGCTCCGTTTTCCTATCCATACTAAGTGTGTGTGTGGGTATCCTAGGTGCACCACTCTAAGTTCTTTAGCACTTCATCATCTTCAGCCGGTCAAGCCCTCCCAAATCCCGCAGCTAACTCGAGGCCTGTGATCTTCCGTGCTTCCCGCATGGAGTCTGGGTAGGGAAAGAACTGAGCTTACCCCTGTACGCAGAGGACCATGTCCCAGAGGCAACGGCGGCTCGAGAGTCGGAGTTCGGCGGGATGGAAGGAGAATGGAGCCAGTGGGTGCCAGGGGTGCGAAGGTCAGGGTTCCGGGACGCACCGGCGGCGATCAGGGACTGAAAGGCTGTGGTGCGAGCAGCTTGGAAGAACGAGGGGGGACGGGCTGGGCGGGTGGGGCGGGGCCAGGCGCCTCCTAATCTTTTGTCCGCTGCGTCCCAGCCCTTCCCGGAAGCCGCATCTTCCTAGAACCGCGGGCTTTGCGGCTGCCTGGAGGGGAACAGGGGCGCAGGCGTCTAGTGCTTTAAACCGAGAAAGGAAACACCTTTGACAGATTTCCAAGAACTTTCCAGGAAAATTGGGCGGGAGCTCCTAGAATTGACCAATCGCATCGCTGGATGTGAGACGAGCAGCTAGACGGACTAATTGAAGTGTACAGACTCTGGACTGACGTGACCGAGTGGGGAGGGACCTAGAGACTAGTAGAGAAAAAGACTATGTTGGGGGCAAGTTAAGAAGGAATGTGGATGAGACTCCCACAACTTGAGACCAGATTGTCTTCCCTCTGCTTCTTTGGGGATGGGTGTGCTTATCTCCCCTTAGAACTACAGCGCGGGGGCAAGGTCTAGGCTGGTCCCCCTAGTTAGCCGCTCCTAGCCGATCGGACGTTGTATTGGGTCTCTCTTACTGCAGGACACTGTGTGTGAAGATGGGTGCTGTGCTGTGAGATCTGGAGAAAGACTTAGGGGGAGGTATGGGGCGCTTAAGAACTAAGGCGGTGCACTGTGGTCACCACCGCTAAAAGAGTTCAGGTTACATCTAATCTTTTGTAATCAAATGAGCTCATCCCATCTTTGCCTAATCTCTGAGTGATCGCCAGTTGGGGAAATTACCCTCTTGAGTCGGTAAACAGAGACAGTCAGCTCCCAGACAGCCCTGTCTATGGCTTGGTGAGGTCCAACTAAATGCTGTGAGAAACTCGAGTTCAAACAAAGGGAGATCAAACAATAGAGCTAAGGGACAGAATACTGCTGCTTCTGTACAGCACAAAACTTGCTGTGTTTTATTCTCCGTAACTCAACAGGGAGGTTTTTTGTTTGGTTGGTTGGTTGGTTGCTTGTTTTTGTTTTTAAATAGAATTCAGACTACTTTGGAGCTCAGTGTGTAGACCAGACTGGCCCCAAACTTCTGAGTATAAGTTTACAATGTGAAGTTACAGGCTGTCATCATATCCGGTTTACCAGAGGTTTACCGGAGCTGTAGGGTCTATGCAAATTCCCTCCAAATCCACGGTTCAGGATATGAGGAGATAAGATCTGGTGAGCCCGTACACCCACTCCTTCCACACCGTGGACTGTCCAGTAGGGGCGTCTCTTCTCTCCACACACGTCATACTACCCACGTTCCTCAGAAAAGGTGGCTATAAGATTCTTGGCAGAGATGACAGGTTTCTGGCAGTGTCTAGAATCTGGGTATAGTGTCTGGGCTTTCCCCAACACAGACTAGGTTCTGGGTGCCCCACCCAAGATAGAGAGCTGACGATAAAACCCTGTGAAAAGGAAGGAGTACTCAGTGAAGATAAGAGGTTACTCCAAGGGACCCAGTTCTCCATGTAGATGCCTTGGAGGGGAAGTTAAGCCCAGTGTAACCCAATCAGGGCTCCCAGAGTACATCAAGGAGCCAGTTTCTTGGAATGTGGGTAGGATGGTGTAGGAGTAACCAGAGAGCATGGCATCCCTGTATGTATGCTAACTTCAATAGAAACTGTCTTGTTGAGCTGAAGGGGCCTGTGGCCCCATGAGAATACCAACCAACCAGAGCTCCTAGGGTCTAAACCGCCAGCCTGGGAACACGCATGGAGGGACCCATGGCTCCAGCCATATATGCAGTGGAGGATGGCCTTGTTGGACATTGGTGGGAGAGGAGGTTCTTGGTCCTGTGAAGGCTGGATGCCCAGTGTGGGGGAATTCAAGGGCAAGGAGTGGGGAGTGGGTGGATGGGTGAGGGCACACCCTCATAGAAGCAGGGGGGGGGGGGGGATGGAATAGGGAGTTCCTGGCATGGAGGAGGAATGGGGAAATGGGATAACATCCAAAATGTAAATAAGTAGAATAGCCAATAAAAAAAAAAAGAAATTGCCTTGTTGCCCTGTATGAAGATACAGGGGATTTCACAGGTGTCGCGCAACAGAGCTGTGATTTTCTTTTTTCTTTTTATGTACTTACCTTATTTTTTTTTTTCTTGAGACAGGGTTTATCTGCATAGCCTTGGCTGTCCTGGAACTCACTATGTAGAATAGGCTGGCCTCGAACTCACAGAGATTTGCCTGTCTCTACTTCCCGAGTGCTGAGTTTAAAGATGTGTGCCACCACTGCCCGGCATGATTTCCTTTTTAAAATTGTGTGTGTGTGTGTGTGTGTGTTCACATGTGTGTAGCCACAGTATTCACATGGAGTCAGAGGATAACTTGAAGGAATCACTTCTCCCAGTCTACTCTGTGGGTCTCAGGGCCCAAAGTCAGGTTGTCAGACTTAGTGGCAAGCACCTTGGTCTGCCGATCTCTTTCACTGGACCCCAAAGCTGTGATTTTTTTTTTTTTGGTTTGGTTTTTCTCGAGACAGGGTTTCTCTGTGTAGCCCTGGCTGTCCTGGAACTCACTCTGTAGACCAGGCTAGCCTCAAACTCTCGAACTCAGAACTCTGCCTGCCTCTGCCTCCCAAGTGCTGGGACTAAAGGCGTGTGCCACCACCGCCCGGCTAAGAGCTGTGATTTTGAACTTGGCTCTTTATGATGTTACATTTCAAACACTCTACCCCAAAACTCTGTCCCTGAGCCTTCTGGACACTTACCATGTACTAGCCACTCAGAAAATCCTGGTTTCACTTTGCAGCCACAGCTACCACAGGTAATGCTGTCCTATGTAAGGAGAATAAGACACGGCCTACAGTGTGCCTTGGGTCTTACAGCTAGCAAGTAGAAGGTTGCAGCCAAGGTCCTCCAGCATTCCAAATTCCACAGACTTCTTCTCTAGGTCAAGATAACCTGCAAACTCTTAGACATCCTTGTCTGTCCTCACTCCAGTCTGTATCAGAACACCTGGGTATCTCCTTGAAAGCTTCTCCTACAAAGGTCAGGGATTAGGACGTTCTGTGCAAACTAGTGTCTGAGGAGGGGGCCGGGAGGTTGGCTCTCCAGTAGTCTTTTGTGATTTTGACAGTGTTATGCATCCCACCTACATGCTGGGAATGGTGATGTGCCCTGTTCTGCCCAAACTGCCTGCTGACTTTCTTTATTCAAGTTTTGTGAATGCTTCTGGCCGTTTCCTTATTACAGCTCTGGTCTGACTGCACCCCTTGAATGGACCCCCTCCCTGACTGCTGGGCCCACACTGCCACCCAGTGGCAATTCTTCTTAAGTCCTTACTAGCCAACTATCCAGAGTTCTTCCTAGTGCATTCCATCTCAGGCACAGCATGAATTCCTGTTATTGCAGGGCTCCTTCCCTTCCCAGAACAATCTCAAGATGGGTCACAAGAATGAACAGCAATATTTCCTCAATATATGATTTCTATCCTTTCATCATGAGCAGGTTCCCTTTCATCAAAAGGCATTTGTGGGAAGGAGCAGTTATTTTCCCCCACCAGCACTTTACTGGATGGTCTATTTGGTCACCATAAGCAACTTCAAAGGCTCCAGTCTCTGTTCCTTTGAACACCCAATTATTTACTGTTACTGTTACTATTACAAAGAGCTAAGTGCCAGAGTCTGCTGTCATGAACCCAACTTGCCCACACCTAGCACACTATGTTCTGTATCTACAACAGTGTGAAAAGGACGTGACTCCAGATGGTTGCTACAGCATAAGCATTGAGAAGATTCTGATTTTCCTGGGTCAAATGAACAGCTGGAAAAACCTCTCTTTATGATTGGGATAGGAACTACGTGTGTTTGTATAATCATATACATTTACATTTACAATTTGTGTGTGTGTGTGTGTGTGTGTGTATGTACATGCACAGGTATGCATGACAGTATGAATACAGAGGTCAGAGGGTGACTTTGTGGAGTCTATTTTTTCTTTCCTTCTTTGCATAGATCCTAAGGGTTGAACCTAGGTAGGTCTCTGGGCTTATGTAGGATGTGAGCATTTACCCACTGAGCCATCTCACCAGTCCTGGAAGGGCATTTTTAAATGGGACTACTTGCTTTTTATACTTCAGTATGGTTTGAACACTTGCAGCAAGCAAATTTGACCTCTTTGAATATATTTTTTTTAAACAAAATGCAGTGTATGGTGGCTCACATCTGTAATTATAACACTCAAGAGGTTGAGGCAGAAAGGTCAGGAGATGAAGGCCACCCTTGTCTACTCAGTGAGTCTGAGGTTAGCCTGGGCTAAATAATCTGTGTTGCCTAGGGACAGGTCCATACAGCATTGTTCTTGATTCCTGTTGTAACTTACAGGAAAACTTACATAATGTCTGGAGCTGTTGATACCCTGCAGTTAAAGGACGAGGATGTTCCCGAATTCCTTGCCACAGGAACCTACTTAGATGGCACCAACCTTGGCTTTCAGATGGAGCAGTACATCTATAAAAAAAAAGAAAAGAGGTTGTATCTACATCATAAATCTGAAGAGGACTTGGGAGAGTCTGGTACTTGTAGCTCAGGCTAAGGCTGCCATTGAGAACCCTGTTGATAACAGTCATCTCCTCTAGGAAGGTCATGCCTGGGACTGTCACTAACCAGATCCAAGCAACCATCAAGGCTTCTAGTGATGACTAATCCCAGGGCTGACTACCAAGCCCTCAGAGAGGCATCTCAAGTCAACCTGCCCACCATGGCTCTGTGTAACAGACAGTCTTCTGCTCTATGTGGACATTGCCATTCCACACAACAAGAAGGAAGCTCACTCAGTGGGGTCTGATGCTGGCTGGGGAAGTTTTCCACATCTGTGCCACTATCTCTCGTGAGCACCCATGGGAAGTTACACCAGATCTCCACTTCTACAGAGACTTAGAGGAAGTTGAGAAAGAGGAACAGGCTGCTTCTGAGAAGGCTGTAACCAAGGATGAATTTCAGGGCAGATGGACTGTACCAGTTCCTGAGTTCACTGCTGTGCAGCCTGAGGTCTGGTCTGAGGGTGTGCAGGTAGTCTCTGTGGCTATCCAGCAATTCCCCACACAAGACTGGAGTGCACATCCAGCCACTGAGGACTGGTCAGCAGCTTCCACAGAGCAGGCCACCAAATGAATTGGAGCCACCACTGAGTGGTTCTGAGTTGCTCTGCAGACACCTGAGCAAAGGGAAAAAAGGTGGAAGGAAAAATAAAGTTCTCAAAATCTGGTAAATCAATTAATTAATTAAACAATCACACTTAGGAACACAATTTAGAGTAATTAAAATCTAAGCCTGTTTTAAATTTTATTTTATCTTTAATTGTGTGTATGTGTGTGGGTGTCTGTACATGAGTGTAGGTGCTCGGGGAGGGCAGAAGTGTAGTGTCCTTCAGAGCTGATGTTACAGGTAGTTGTAACCCACCGGGTGTGGGCACTGGGGATGGAACTTGGACCCTCTGGAAGAATAATATATGCTCTTAACAGCTGAGCCCCTTATTTATTTACTTACTTACTTATTTATTTTTCAGGGCACACACAACCCAGACCCAGCCTCTACTCCCAGTTACCTAACTTTCTGTTCCTTGTGGAGCCAGGCTCACAGAGAATGAGACCTTGCTGAGCCTTGGATTCATCAGCTTTAAGCTGGTTGCAGTGCCTGGCCTAGCCTCCTGGAAGCAACACTTCCAGACTGCATGCCTTCCTTCAACTCTTAGATCTTGGGTCTGATTATTAGGTGGAACTATGATCCCACCTGATCCTAGATACAGCTAGACATAAATGTGTGTACATACGTGTGTCTGTATGTATCTGTGTACGTGACTATCTGTGTGTCTCTTGTGTGCACTGTGTGAGTGCGTGTGTGAGAGTGTACGTGCACAAGTGGATCAGCAGAGTGAAGAAAGAAACTCCATGTGAGGAGGTCATTACTTGACCTCCCGACTTTGAGCCCAATTTTGAGGTTGCACTTGGGATTGAGATGGGGTGGGGGAGTTCTGTCTTGCTAGTTGCTGACTTCAAGCAGGTCATGTGACCTCTGGGCTTGTTTTTCTTGTGTGTTTTCAGTGTGTGTCTAAAGGGATAGTCATATCTTCCTTCCTCTGTCTCAGTGAGGTATTCAGGCAGAGCATTTCCTGGTCTGCAGGAAGTGCTTCCTAATGACCAGCTGAGGCGCTTATCTAGGGATCTCTGCTTCACGGATTGTTACTAGTTTGAAGAAGACAAGAGTTACCAATTTTGAAGGAGACAAGCTACCCATGAATAGTTGTAGTATTCTTCAAGAGTGGTTATCAGGAACCAGGATGCAGTCGTATAGATAGAAGGGCACCAAGGTCCTGCTGGTCTCTGACAGTTGTAGAGTTCAGCCCAGGCATCTTTGTGTGTGTTGTAGTGGAAAGTTGGATGGACATAGCCGCCTTGGGGTGGGACAGAGGTTCTGGTGGCTGCAGTTCTGAATGTAGTCTGTAGATGGCAGCAGAGACCCGCTCAGAGGGCTTGCCTATAGAGCCGCCGGTTCTGTAATCTGAGACTTGTGGGAAAACTGGCTCAAAATGTCTGTGATAGGATAAGACGGGTTAAGAAGTGGAGGTCTAAGCGCAGAAGGGGAAAATTTGTAGCTAATAGAGAATCCTTCTCTGGAATAGAAGAAAGGGATTTTAACGTTAAGTTAAGATTGATTGATTGATTGATTGATTGATTGATTGATTGATTTTTCGAGACAGAGTTTCTCTATGTAGCAGTTCTGGCTGTCCTGAAACTCTCTTTGTAGACCAGACTGGCCTCGAACTCACTGAGATAGGCCTTCCTCTGCTTTCAGAGCTCTGGGATTAAAGGTGTGTGCCACTATGCCCGGCTAATTTTATTTTTTCAAACATAACCTCACGATGTGGCACTAGGTTAGCCTCACAGTCGTCCCGCCTAAGCCTTCTTCGCGCTACAATTACAGGTGCTCATCACCACGGCTAGAGACTTGAACTAGAACCTAAAGCGCAAATCAGAATAAGGTGAAAAGTTGATGCAACTGACCAAATGGGAAATCAAGATTTCTGATTCAAGAGCTTCCCAGGTGTGTTCAACTTGCGGCTGCGGGCTGTAAGCATTCCAGGAAAGCACGAATGTGGCCCAGTACAGTTGTAGTGACAGTGAATTGCAAAGTCAAAAGGTTGGTCAGGGAGTGCATAGACAGGAAAGCTGGCCAGTGTTCGACAGATGCCCTACACTACCAGGAAATGAAAAGTGGCGAATTAAACAACGTGCCAATTCCCAGGGCAGGCTGACAAAAAATTCAGAAGTTGAATTCTGAAGCATTTAGCTACCTGGAAAGTTGGGAGTCTAAAACGCCTCCTGACAGCAAGCAAAAAGAACACTTCACTCAAGAGCCCTCAAGAGCAACAAAATAATCTTGAGCTGTAATTTTCTAGATCACTGATAAAATCCGAGGAGGCTGGTACAACAGTTGAAGGAGTTCCTACCGGTGTCCAAGGACACAGCGAGAAAGTTACGGCGAACTTGAGGAGGCCACGCCCCATTTTGTCCCGACTCAGGGGCGGAGCCTGCCAGGGGCTCTGCCCTGGCCTGCCCAGCCCGGACTAGCCTGGCCCTTTAAGGCTGACCTAGCGGGGCCCCAAGTCCGGATGACGCGCCGAGAAGGGGGTGGGGGTCACGTGGGGCGCGGGGAGCGAGTCTCTGGGTCCAGGGCTCCCCTCGGCAGCGGACTCCAGGGATCACTATCTCTTGCCCATCTCGCCTGCAGCATGATTTCCGTCTAGCGCTTTGCCACCAAGGGAGCCTTCGCCTGGTACGACTTTCCTGGGCCCCTGTATGGCGGGCTCTCAAGACCTGACTGCCACACAGCGCCGTACTCCTTCCTAACTCGACACGTGCCTGGGCTGAGGGATCACCTCCCCCTGCTGCACGTAGGTACTCTCAGGCAGTTTTCAGCTTGTCTTGGGCCAGCAGCCCAGTCGATCTAGTTCTGGAGAAACCAAAGCTGGGGTGTGTCCAAAAAGTCCCGGTGGGGAGTGACTCTTTCCCTTTCCTTCAGGTGCCTCTGGACGCGCCAGGCTGGGGCTACCTCCGAGCGCCCCGTGGGGGCCATGGATGGCGAGACAGCAGGGGAGAAGGGGAGTCTTGTGCCCCCGCCAGGTGCGCTCGGTGGGTCCGCCTTGGGCGGTGCTCCGGCCTCAGGTGTGCGACGGGAACCCAAGAAGTACGCGGTGACTGATGACTACCAGTTGTCCAAGCAAGTGCTGGGTCTGGGTGTGAACGGCAAGGTACTAGAGTGTTTCCATCGGCGCTCTGGGCAGAAGTGTGCCTTGAAGGTTAGTAACCCATCTCTCTGAGGGCTGGGGTGACCTGGAGGGTCCGACAGCAGATACCCGTGGGTGTATCTATGTTCAGGGTCTCTATTAAACATCTACACTCTGCATCATGTTTTATTTTCATACTCTTCCTCTAGCGTCAGATTCTCGGCCCTCTCGGCCTCACACAGGCGGAAACAGGCTAACACAGGCTGACCTACCTAAGCTCAGGGTGTGTCCCAAAGAGCAAGGGGAGGAGTCAGTGTGAGTAGAGCTGTTGTACCCGGAAGGCAGGAGGGAGTGACTGTGCGTTCTGGTTCTGGCTTAGGCTTTGTGTTTAGTAAGGATGCTCTTACTCTTAGCTATCCCCTGCAAGTAGCCCCTGCTATGGGGATGGGTCTAAGTTTCCCTCTGCTTGAGGGCTGAGACTCCAAGGCTCAGAGTGGGATTGCATCCTCCTCATGGCCCCTGCCTGCTGAGGCGGGACTATGAGCCTCTTAGGGTGCTCTCTGACTACTGGGCTCTTGATAAGTTGGTGGCCCTTTGTGGGAAGGGGCAAGCTTTGTCCTAGACTGACCCACCATGGACAGATGATGGGGAACCCCTTAGCACATTATAGTCGAGGTCCCCTAGAGGCCTGGCACATTGATGTGGGTGGATTGGGGGAGTGGCTTGGAGTAGCTGATCTCACCACCTGAATCTGGTTCAGGCACGTGGTTCTAGCCCAAGAAGCCCTACTTCTACCTACACCTACCCCTATCCAGAATTCCAGAATCCCTTGAATGTTTGTTACTGGGAACCAGACCCAATTGGAGGTAGTGCTGTTGGCACCTGCATGGAGCATCGTGGTGGAAAGGGAGTGACTCCTGGAAGTTAGTGAAGTCCTGTTTCACAGGAGCCAGGGTGCAGAGTCCTATAGCTGTGGCTGTAATCTCTCCCTTGTGTGTGTGCCAGCTCTGTGACCTTGGGCGATACCCGACTTTGTTCAGGGAGAGAACGGGAGTTGAAGTAAACTCAGACTGAGATAACACACGCTGAGTACTTGATATCGGCCTGGAGAGGCTTCAGTACTTTCTTCAAGCAAGGGATCCGCAAGAATCTGACTGAGAACCTGGGCCTTGCTCTCTGTCTTTCTCTGGTGTATCAGGCTGAAAGCAGGGGAGGTTGTCTCCCAGATAGGACCCTAGAGGGGATCATGAAAGTGGGTCAAGGGCAGGGTAAGAACTGATCTGAGGGCTGGCCCTAGGTTCTGTATTTATCTTCTCCCTTAGCCCCAGCTGTCCTTCTGCTTGAACTAAGAGGCAGCCTGGCAGAGGGTGAGTGGGTGACTGAGGCCAGAGAACCTCTTCTCACATTTGAGGCTTTGATCCTGACCCTTGGGTTCAGATAACGTGAGGAAGGTGAGGATGGGTGAGAGCCCATAGTCTGTAGCCCAGGCAGTTCCAGCTTTGAGCAGGGCTGGGCCTACACCTCCCCCATAGATGCAGTGTCTGACTAATGACTGGAGCAACTTGTGACTGCAGGAGCCGCCTCTCTAGTTCCTCCTATTTTAAGGCCCCACCTCCCTCTCCTGGTCTAGGAACAGTGGCAGTTCTGAAGTAGTTTCACTCACCTCTGTACCTCTTAAGATTATGGGTCAGCATGGCTTGAAGGCTCTAGGATCTGGCCCCAAATTGACCCTCAAAGGAGACAGAGATTAGATGTAGCTCTCTAATTTTTTCTGATCTTGGCTCCTGCCCTCCACAAGGGGCCAGCTCAACCTCTGGCTGTGTATGTATTGTTTTAGTGGCTTGGCCTTGGAGAAGGAACTGACACCTTCTCATTTAACACTTTCTGTTCTCTGCCCAGGAGAGCAGAGATGAATTGAGGGCCTCAGCACAGTGAGTGACAGACAGATCAGGCCCCAGGGAGCTCAGGCAGCCCCTGAGCGGGTCCTAACCCACTCCTTAGCTGCTCTAGCTCAGCCTAGGAAGTCCTGGGCTCTGTGCCTTCCTAGATCCATGGCTCAGACAATTAGGCTGGCTTGGCTTGATCTTGTAGCCTGAACCATTGCTTTTTCATGCCCATCTTTGGGCCTTGTTGCCTAAGAGGCTATAGAGTACCTAGCAGGAAGCCTAAATGCAGCAGCATCTGTGGAACAGGAAGACTGTGGTCATTGTTCCTATAGCTATTGCCATTCAGTGGGGCCCTAAAGGAGCAGGCCTGCCTACCCCCTTCTCCTTTCTCTCAACCTCTGACCACTGCTCATTCTGTTTTGGCCTCAAGCACAGCAAGGCCTCTCTCCCCAGGCCAACTTCTGTGACCATTGGAGCTTTCTGTGGCTCCCCAAGCCCTTTTGCTGTACCCATAGAACTGGAAGTAGAGTGTCTCAGGGAGAGCATGGGGGCATGCAGTCTTCATACTCCTCCTGCTGACATCTTGTGCTCCTTCCTAGGCCTAACAGATTAAACACAGATGTGACCAGGGCACTAAGTACCTTCCAGTAAAAACATGGAAGGTCCTGGGGAGACCTGGGAGGAGTACACATGGGAGGAGAGGTAGGCTCCTTTATTCTGTTCCTGCTGCTACACAACAGGGCTAAGGACCCTTCCCTTCCCCACTCTGGGTTCCCAGTGCCTCCTCTTCTCTTCTTTGTTAAAGAGAACAGAATGGCTGGCAGGGTGGGGTATCTTCCAGATGGGATCTTTACAGTGAGCATCCTCCTCCCAATCTCAAGATCAGGGAGTGACTGGGCTGCCTCATCCTGAACAGTTCTCTTCCCATTGGTGCTGGTGGCTGAGATAGGCTAGGCTACTCTGGATGTGAGCTGTGTAGGACCACAGCAACATTGTCCTGGAGCACATGCTACAGAGAATCTATTTCCCCTGATAGATTGAAAAATAACACCCTCAAGACCAGGATTGCTTGCTTGGTGTCATCAGGGTCTTAGATTTGACTCTATACACTTTGAGCCTCTGAGTATGGCGTACAAGGCTTTGGAAGTTCAGTCTTTGCTTCTATAGATGGCCGTCTTGTAATTCTTCTGTAATGGTGCCATTCCCATCTATGGAGGCTCCATTCCACTTTCACCTCTTCCAGGAAGCTGTCTCAGAGTTTGTGATTTTTGGAGCAATGGAATCTTTGCCCCTAAAGCTATACTGTCATTAAATCAAAGTTCCTTTGGAGCACCTAGGTCCAGGGCTTGGCATATATAGTGGCTCATAAAATGCTTATTGACATAACCAAGCATAGCCCTTCAGAGTTTTGGAAGGAGTTTTTCCAGTCTCTGTTAACCACAGGGAAGGCTGTTTCCCAGCCTAAAGGCCTGGAACTTCACAAAGGAACCCAGCAGCTTTACTCTCCCTGATAGAGGTATTGGGGAGGTCTGCAGAGGAAGGAAGTGTCCTTCTGTAAGTCCTTTCTGTCACCTATCTGCCATTGGGCCACACCTGTGAACACAGAGGCTCTCTCCACCCAGAACGGCAGGGAGAAGCTGAGTTCGAGTCAAAGGCTGGGGGGGGGGGAGAGAGAGAGAGAGAGAGAGAGAGAGAGAGAGAGAGAGAGAGAGAGAAGAGAGGGATGGGGAAGGGAGAGGTAGAGATCACCCCACCCTATAACTCCATGGGCAGAGATGGCCTGTTGGGGCTGGTGCTGTAGAGCTGGATTTGAGGCTAGGTGGGGCTGCCAGGCAGGGCAGGCTTTCTCTCATTTGACAGCCCCACCCCTCACCTACCATTTCCACACCAGTCAGATCAGCCCCCGCTCCTTGTTACTTCCTCAAGAGGTCAGAAAGACATGGACGGGACAGTGGCTCTGCACAATGGAGTCCCTGGAAAGGCAAGGGTTTCACTGCTCAAAGATTCTTGACACTTAGAAGGAAAAAAAATATCTGAGGAGCCTGGTGGAGATTCCTGTACTGCCAGCACCCGTCAGTTTGGTTAAACAGGTTTCCGAAGAACATCAGACCTGCAAAGTGTGAAAAAGGGTTTAGATTGGACTTGAGTGTCCTGAGATTGTTATACCAGGACTTCTCAAAAAAAATTTTTTTTCCCCATTTTGCTGGAGAAAGTTTTACACAACTCTGGGTCTATAGATATATAAAATAGGTATCCAGCTCATACATTTGCTGAAGACATTTATTTTAAAAATAATTCTTTGTCATAGCTACAATATGACTAGTTATCAAAGATGAAAGCAAAATTTCATATTAATGAAATAAACATGCTTGTTTATTTTTGACATAAAGAAATTTTGGCTGAATATTTGATGCCATAGGACTTAGAGCATTTTCCAGAGTTGGTCAATATTATGATTTTATAGTTGTTAAGGCTTTCTTGCATAACTATTGCAAAATGATGCTGAGAGTTGTAGCACATGCCTTTAGTCTTAGCTCTTGGGAGTCTGAGGCAAGTGGATCTCTGTGAGCTCCAGGCCAGCCAGGGATGCACTGTGAGATCCTGTGTCTAATAAAGAATGGGCTGGCCAGATATCTGAGCACTCATGAGCACTGGCTGGTTTTGCAGAAGAGTATGAGTTCTGTTTCCAGCACCCACATGGTGGTTCACAACTGTCTATAACTCTAGTTCTAAGGTATCCGTTGCCTTCCTCTGGGTTCTGTGTGCAACACACACACACACACACACACACACACACACACACACACACAGTGCACATACATACATGCAGATAAAACACATAAGAAGAGAAACAGAAGAAGTATGTTTAAGGTCTTTTTAGAAATTGTTAGAAATACTGTCCTAATCTCAAGCCAAAATTCATTTTAATGATTTTTTATTTAAAAAAAAAATGTAACTCAAGTCAACCGTTCAAACAGCAATTTTAAAAGTCAAATATTCTAACAATTTGATCCAAAGATATAATCATGTAGTACATGCTGTGGAATAAAGGTAGGGAAACATTAAAGGTCTTGTTTTCTGTAATTAAAGCGTCGTGTTTCTGTAAGAGTAGACAACTTTGTAAATATGGGTTTTTTTTTAAGCCACTGCCACTCATGATATACAATTGTATTAATTCTCAACCGA